ATTGCCTCCACCAACGTCGGTTAGGGGAGTAAGAAGTTTCTTGGGACATGCCGGTTTCTATCGGCGTTTCATCAAAGATTTCTCAAAAATTTCAAAACCCTTAACTAACCTTCTTCTTAAAGATGCTACCTTTGATTTCACTGATGAATGTCTTGATGCTTTTTGCAGGTTGAAAGAAGCATTGATAACAGCTCCTATTATGCAACCGCCGGACTGGAATCTCCCATTTGAAGTCATGACTGATGCAAGTGATTATGCGGTTGGTGCTGTGTTGGGCCAAAGGAAGAACAAGATAGTTCATGCAATTTATTATGCTAGTCGCACTCTTGATGAAGCCCAAGTTAACTACGCTACCACTGAAAAGGAGCTATTAGCAGTTGTATTCGCCTTTGACAAGTTCAGGTCTTACTTAGTGGGGTCCAAAGTCATCGTTTATACCGACCACTCCGCCATCAAATATCTTTTGAGCAAGCAAGATGCCAAGCCTAGGTTGATCCGATGGATACTACTTTTGCAAGAATTTGACCTAGAGATCAAGGACAAGAAAGGGACGGAAAATTTGGTGGCAGACCATTTGTCGAGGATGAAGCAAGAATCACATGATAAGGAGGAGGATGAACTACCGATCGATGACTCTTTCCCAGATGATCAGTTGTTAGCCATTGAAAGATTGGATGCACCATGGTATGCGGACTTCGTCAATTACATAGTGTGTGGAGTCTTGCCTCCGGATCTGAGCTATCAACAGAAGAAGAAGTTCTTTGCTGACTTGAAGTATTATTTTTGGGATGAACCGTTTCTATACAAACGGTGTGTTGATGGGATGTTCAGAAGGTGTATTCCTGAAGATGAGGTTGCCAGTATTCTCCATCATTGCCACTCATCTTCCTACGGAGGACATGCAAGCACTTCAAAGACAGCTGCAAAAGTTTTACAATCAGGTTTCTATTGGCCGAGTCTTTTCCGGGATGCAAGACAGTTTGTGATATCTTGTGATAGTTGTCAGAGGACCGGGAATATTTCGAAGCGACATGAGACGCCTTTACACTCCATCTTGGAAATTGAGGTCTTTGATGTGTGGGGGATAGATTTCATGGGACCGTTCCCGTCATCGTGTAACAACAAGTTCATCTTAGTGGCGGTGGACTACGTCTCCAAATGGGTAGAAGCGATAGCATCCCCCACCAACGATGCTAAAGTTGTTGTGAGACTATTCAAGTACGTTATTTTTCCAAGATTTGGGGTGCCACGGACGGTATTCAGTGATGGAGTCATGTGTCAGAGAGAACTCTATCTTTTATGTGCCATGGTTGAGGGACATAAGGTTGACACAGGAGCTTTTATGATTCATCATATGTGTCGTGCAACGAGAGCAACAAGTGGAAGAATTGTGTTAGGTGGCTTGATTACCACTTTAGCTTACGGGATGGGTTTAAGAGAATTTGTAGATGGACTTCATCCATTAAGCCCTAGTGCGTCCATTAACCTCGATGCTTGTCTACATATGAAATTGATTAGTAATAAGGGCAATAGGTTATGGTTATGTTTTCAGGATAATTATCTTTTCCCACTCCCTGATCTTGATTGCACAACCATCCATGTTCACGCCAATTGGTCCTACCTCACATCTAATTTTTTGAATTGTGATGGTCATGAGGTTGTACCAGCTAAGGATGCTGACACGGTACCCCCGATCCCTATTCAGGCTGAGCCTACCAGGGGAACTAGCTCTTCCCATCACCCTGATTGGTCAGCAGAATTATCAGCTATCCATATTTCTCTTGCCTCTCTTACTAACCGTGTAGGTGCCATCGCGCAAGAGCAACAACGTCAGGGACAACTCCTGGATTCTATCCACCATATGATGCAGTGTTTTCATGAGTGGCAGCACCGACAGGATGCCTCCGCGTCGCCTCCTTCTGACTAGTGAGTTGGTATGTCCTCTGCACCCTTGCACTAATTTCTATCTTATTACATTGAGGACAATGTAGATTTTAAGCTTGGGGGTGTGGGTTGTTCATTCATTGTTTGCCTGTCTATAATTGCCTATTTTTCTTTTATTTTAGTTTTTCTTTTGCTTTGTTCCTTAATTCAAAAAAAAAAAAAACCAAAATAGGGAAATGATTTCCTGATGATGACATGAATGCTTAACCTTTATCAATCATTGAATTAGATAGATGCTTATTAATCGGGACTTGGCAACTTCTTATATCATCTTTCAACTGATTCTCAAAGGCTTTTGATTACAAGTTAACAATATGGGAGAACCAGACTTGAATGTTCTCTTGTCTTATAGGTTTTAGCGTTTATGTGGCTAGCGTCATAACCATTACTCTATTGAGACAAGAGGGGAATTAAATTTGGTAGACAAATAAAACCCGTGAGATTTTGAGCCTGAAATTGGATGCATTGCATATCCAATCATTATTTTCTTTGCTTGTGTGATATTCTCCAATGGTGTAGGATTCTAGAACTTGCATTGAATCTCTTCAAGGCCACATATAACTTTTGTATGCATAAAAGGTGATTGAGGCACATTTTTGTTTATAGTCCACATTTGCCAAATAGCCTACCATGCACTTTTGTTCCCTTTGATTAGCCCCCTTGAGCCTATGAGCCTAATTTTCATTGATTTAACCCACATATGTAACCTTCAAAACCCGATTTTATTCCTTACCCATTGCCTAAGCTAGTGGAGCACATTTTATGATACAATGGGTTATATGAGTAATGTGGTGTAAGCTTGGGGGTGTGAAAGTAGGCGTTTGCTTCCTTTTCATAATTTTTTCGAAAAAAAAGAAAAAGAAAAAAAATACTAATTCAAAAAAAAAAGATGAATAAAGTGTCATCTTTATGGTGTATGTAATTGCGGGTGTCGAAAGAATTTATTATGGCATACTAAAAGGAGTAGTTGGAAGAAGTTCTTTAATAGATGATGGAGTTTGTGTAGATGTCATTGATCTTACTTTGAGATATAATCTTTTGCAATCATAGCTCCACTAGTGATAGGCTTTCAACCAATCCCAAATATCTATCCTACCCTTTTGACCCTAGCCCCATTACAACCAAATAAAAGACCTCATGATTTTGTTGCATACCTTAGTTTTAAAAGTGGTGGAGAATTGAGATGAAATGCAAGCTTATGGATTGAATACATCCATTCGGAAAAACTTTGAGCGATACAATCACATCCTTAAACACATGAGAGATTGAGAGTCCACTTATCCTAAAGTGAGGTCTACCAATTTAACTATCTGAATGTCTCAATTTTAGTACTTCAGGATTGAAGCTAGTTACATGAATTTCTTTTTTCTACTTTGACTTAAGAATTGGATAGGATGGCTATCCTTGACTTGTGACGCTTGTGATCGTAAATAAATTTTGAAATGTGATTTTGTTGAGAGTTTTGGAAATTAATTTGTTAAGTCCCGATGAAAAGTATTTGTTTTGTGATATGTTTGATATTGGTTAAAGGATTGATGAGGGGGTGATCCCTACTCTATTTGGCTTTCACTCCTCCTAATTTTTATTGTTTATTTGCTTGAGGACAAGCAAAATTCTAAGCTTGGGGGAGTTGATAAACACGTAAAATATGCATTATCTTAGTGTGTTACAAGCATGATTTACGAGTGTTTAATGTATATTTCGTGTTTAGATCGAGGATACTGCTGTGGTTTGTGTTCTTATATGTAGGTATTGGCTCAAGATTGAAAGATTTGATGATCGTTGGAAGTTATACAAGAGTTTGAAGCAACAACAAGATTTCGAAGGCATGGTTCGTGAAGAAAATGGATGCACGAGTATGAAGAACTGGAATTTTGACCATGATGCAGTTCGAATCAAGAATAACTCAAAAGATAAAAGTTGTAGATCTCTTCAACAGATTTCCAACGCAATTTGAATCACCTCATTCTGAGGTCGGACGCAAAAGTTATAGCCAAAATACCAAAAACTGAAGAAACAACCACAAAATCAGCAAAACAGCCCCTACCACACCCTGGTGTGGTGCAGACCGCACCTGTGGCGCGGAAATTAGTTATTTTCCAGATTTTTAGGGACATATAAATAGATGTTTTGACTTAGGGTTTTGGATATCTTTTGTTATGTTCTCTTAGCCATCAATTAGCAATTATTTTGGAGTTCAAGTATTGAAGAAATACACTAATTTCTTATACAAGATTGGATTGCAAGTTTTGATTTTGAAGATCTCAATTGAAAGACGGGTTAATTCTTTCCTCTCTTTGATTTATTTCTTCTTATGATTGATTTGCATAATTATTGGATGTATTCTCTTATCCTAATCATGTGTGAGTAGATTTCTTGTCTAGGATTGGGAAAGAACCCAACTTTTTGGTGATTGATGATGGATTGATATAGGTTCTTAGTGAAAGTTTAAATCTTTGAACTTGATTTCTAGTGTTTTAATTTTGTTGATTCTCTTGATCACCGTATTAGCAATCATAGGTAATTAATTGAAGGACTGAAAGGTGAAGATTAATACCGGATCTCTAGAAATTAAGCAGGGAGCTCGTACCACGAAAGTAGGCTAGATTCCTTAGGGATTTGATTTGGGTTAGCATAAAGCTTAATGGGTTTAGCTTAATCTTAATTCCACGACAGTAGGTTAATTAAGATTAATTAGGCACGATCTTTAGACCTTAAAAAAGGCTTTAGATTAATTTAGGCTAATTCACCCTTTTTAGTTTAAACCAACACCGAGAACTAAAATAATTCATCATTGAGCATCGAAGTTGTGGTGAAAACCCAACCCTGGCTCTTCATTATATTGAATTCCACCTGATTAGTTATTATTTTATTTCTTTTAATTTTCATCTCTTCTAATTTACTCATTAGTTTAGCTAGCCTAATAACGTGAAATTTGGTAATTAACCCTAGTCCCTGTGGGATCGACCTTGATAGCTACAACGAGTCTGTGCGCTTGCAGATTTTGCCCTATCAGTTATTAATATGTTATAATTGTATGTGCAAGTATATACACCATGCAGCCTGGACAGATTAGTGATGAGGTCCTATATGACCAGCCTCGACACCGTTCACATGTTATATCCTTTACAGAGGTAACTAAGTTTCTTATAATTTTAATATTGCATTCTTATAATATTGTATTCTTATATATTCATTTGCTTTATAGAAAGGCCCGGATATTGTTATGGTTGATCATAGCCTCAGCCATAGCCGTTGGCATCTAGAGGATGAGCGCATAATAGCAGCTGTAGGACGGGCCGGCTTCTTGACATGTTCAAAGCTTCGTTGGATGAGGCTCGATTGGCCCCTACTCACCGCTTTAATAAATAGGTGGAGGCCGGAGACCAACACTTTCTACTTCCGAATGGGAGAGTCTACTATTACGCTACAGGATGTAGCCATGATACTTGGTCTCCGCATAGATGGTCCGTGCATTACCGACAGTGATAGATATTTTTGGCCGGACAGGTGTGAGGAGTTGTTAGGTGTAGCTCCAGAGTCAATGCCTGGAGGAACTATTAAATTGAAGTGGCTAAAAGAGACCTTCTCGGTGCCGTTGCCTTTTGATGCGCCGCTAATATTGATTGAGCAACATGCACGTGCATACATTATGCACATGATCGGTTCAATATTATTTCCAGATTCGAGTAAAGATAAAGTGCATGTCAGGTATCATTTTTATTAGTATTTACAATTATGTCTGTTGAATTAGCTTATTTTGATAACTTGAAATGTTGTGAAAATGCTAGGTGGTTACCACTTATCGGGGACTTGGACACGTGTGGTGCGTTATCGTGGGGTAGTGCGTTTTTGGCGTACCTATATAGAGAGATGTCTAAGGTTGCATTCATGAAAAATAGTGACCTCAAAGGGTGTCTCAGCTTACTGCAAGTATGGGGATGGGAGAGACTGCATTTGAAGCTGAGACTATGCGTGAATTTACAATTAGACGGACAAATTCCACTAGGATGCAGGTATTATATTTTTTAACGTAGTAAATATAATTATAGTTATTATTTTGGTACTGAATTTTAAAACTAACACAGATGGAATGTCCAAAAATGTTTTGACGAGACCCCGGCTAGACAGTTAGATTTCTACCGAAATGAGCTTGACCGCATGAAGATTTTTCAGGTATCATTTCTATAAAAATGAGTTTTTTCTTCTATATATCAACTTTCATTTTAATGATATGCAATAATTATATGTAATACTCTGTAGATGGAATGGGAGTCCTACACCCCATTTCTCGATCATCTACCCCCGATATGCATAGAATACCCAGTTATATGGAGATCCAGAGTTCCTCTAATATGTTTCGAAATAGTAGAAATGCATGTACCGGACCGCGTGCTTCGACAATTTGGTCTTGCACAACATGTTCCGCAATTTGTTGAAAAAATAGAGAGGAAGGTGAAGAAAGGAGGCCAACAAAAGGACTGGGCAGCTGAGCATCAAAATTATATACACAGATGGAATGATAGATATTTTTGTATTGTTGAGCAAATTGAGCCAACTCTCCAAGAATCAGATTACTACACTTGGTATTGGAGGATAACTAGAAGATGGATACTCCGTGCGACCACATCCCCGGTTGAGTTGCAAAGAGGATATGTGCCTCGGGGTATAGATGAGAGAGAATTACTAAGTATTTTCAAATTTATTTTAAGTTCATTTTTATTAGAATTTTTCAATATTGCTAAATTATGTTTTTTTTTTAAATTTGCAGGTATCAGTAATAGATGATGTTCAAACCATTGCAAATTGTGGCTTGGAATTGGCTCGAGCAGGTAATATAGAATTAAATATAAAATTTACATATTGTAATTTGAATTTTAAAGTAATTTTTGCATTTCGGATTTTTTTGAATTATCTCTCACAGGTACATATCCCGAAGCACAGAAACATGCATCAATATATCAGTCGATAATGCAGAGGCTTCACTAAGCCTTACATCGAACTCATGAAGACCTCCATGATGGACGAGAGGTAGCGCAATTAGTATACACACGTCAACAACGACACAGACGAGAACGACGCAGAAACGACAATGAAGCTGGGCCTTCCCAACATGTTGACGATGGAGCTGGACCGTCACAACCACAAACGCAACCGGATCAGAACTCATCGAAGGTCGGGATGGAGGAGGCCGAAGACAAAGGAGGAGGAGAAGAGTTCTTGGATGTATGTAAGCTAATCGGTATTGTTATATAAATTACAATCCTATTTTGATATGTACATTAGAAACGTATTTCGGGACAATAGATGGTTTTTGGATTTGTAGCCGAGACTGTGGTGTGACTTATTAGATTTGTAAGTGGGTTTGTGGCGTGATTTGTTGGATTTGGATTCGTAAGTTTGTGGTGTATTTTATGATTTTTTAGATTTGATATGTGTTTATACAGGGAATTGACATATGAGTTTGTACAGGGAATTGATATATGTGTTTATGCAATGGTGTAATTTATGATTGTTGCATTTGAAATATGAGTTTGTACAGAGAATTTTCCCGTAACAGAAATACATGCCTAGGAAGTGCACGAGACTAGCAGTCTCGTGCTCTTCTTTTTTGCAGAGATGTAACTCTCTGCAAAGTGCACAGGACTACTAGTCCCGTGCACTTCATTGTGGCCACGAAGTGCACGGGACTAGCAGTCCCGTGCACTTCATTTTTATAGACATGTCAGTCTCTGCAAAAAACACGGGACTGTTAGTCCTGTGTTTTTCAAAGCTGCCTCGAAATACACGGGACTAGCAGTCCCGTGTATGTCGTAAAATTTGTTCCGCAGCAAAACCGACCCTTTTCAGAAGAAAAGGGTCGGTTTTGCTAAATAATTTTCTAAGAGGTCGATTTTGCTATTTAAAATACGAAAAATGTTGATTTTGAAAATTTGTCCTAGGTTAAAACCCAAAAACTTTAAAACAAAAAGACCCGCATAAAAGCTTTATGTGGGCGATTGAGCAATTAAACGCTCAATCGTGCTGCTGACGGCACAATTGACCGCATTTGCTCCTTTCTGTGCGGTTTTCTCCCGCATCCGATTAATCGACCGATTAATCTGCCGGATAAGCCGTTTTTTTTAACACAAAGTTTAATCATTTTTACTAGTAACAATGTACAGCTTCATTTGTCAACAATGCAGCAAGTATGAGCACTGACCAGATGATCCAACAAGAAAACTCGGAGATGCATTGCTTGAAGTAGCATTATGATCTCTTGCCAATATTTCAAAGTATAAGATACGACGTTTCAGATATTCGAGACTGTATATTTCTATGATCTTGAAAGCTTCTGTTTATACATAAATCAACCCAGTTGAGTTATTGTTAGGATCTGTATGAGTTACCCATATGATGAGTGGTACACGATGAAGATGGAGATCAGACTGTTGGTACAGGTAAAGACTTTACCAAGGAAGAAATCGGTGTTGATGAAGATGGAGATAGGGTATCAGAAGAAAGCAAAGGAGTAAATTCTGAGGCTGGAGGGATGTTGATGCTCGTCCTGGCATCTCGTTTGCACACAGGGCAAAACGTTCTCCATGATGTGAGCCAGGAATCAACACAAATTGCATGGAACACTGGAAAAAAAATTAAAGCACTGTGTCAATGCAAAGTAGTAAATGGTTGAATAAACGAAAAGATTATAGAATATACGTACGTGGTATAGCTGTAGCAAAGCTTAAAGATCATGATTAAATAGTGGTATATCATATCCAAGAATTATGATAAGTGTATGATTCTAATAACTCAAGGTTCATCAAATAAATAGTCCAAACAATATACTCTTACTTATTACGGGCCAATCATTTAATTTTTCAATTGAATCAAATAAATGGTGATAATCAATCCGCGATTTCTCTTGATTTGTAATTCAATATGCAAAATGTTCTCCATGATGTGAGCCAGGAATCAACACAAATTGTGTGGAACACTGAGAGAAAAAATTCAAAGCATTGTGTCAATACAAACTAGTAAATGGTTGAACGAATGAAAAGATTATAGAATATATATAAGTACGTGGTATAGCTGTAGTAAAGCTTAAAGATCATAATTAAATAGTGCTATAGCATATCCAATAATTATGTCACGTGTATTTGTCAGAGAGAGAGAAAGAGATTCTAACAACTCAAGCTTTCATCAAACAATAGTCCAAACAATATACTCTCACTTATTATCAGTCCGGGCCAATCATTTGATTTTTCAATTGAACCAAATAAATGGTGAGAGTCAATCTGCGATCTCTCTTGATTTGTAATTCAATACACAAATCAGTTGGTTCTGTCATGTTAGCTATATATGTTACGTCAACTATTTTCCTCGCAAGGTGGTAAGGTGATATCTTGAGCCCCGTTAAGATCCCTATTGCTTGGGCTGAGTTAGCAATCAATCATTGCTTGGATTTATTGAAGATCCACCAAATTTGTCTTAAGATCTCTCCTTAAGCATTTCTCTAGTTCCCTCTCCGTTCACTCTTTCAATGTGCCTAACATCCAATGTTGCCTTATGATTTCTCTTGTAGTACAGCACTGGTGCTTCCCAATGCTCAATTTTCACCCTATTCTTCACACGCTTGCTAGAGAAAAACTTCATTAATTTCACACCCTTTGGGATTTTTTTCTTCTTCAAGTAGCCATATCTTGTGGGAGTTTGTTTTATCTAATTTCATCAGTCAGTCTGAAAGTGGGTCCATGTTTTGCCGTGTGCAAAATCGGAAGTCTAGATCTGCTGTTTGAGTACAGGTATAAAATAACCTGAAAGGCGCTGAAATTCCATCTAGCAGCCTCGAACACAAAATTTGGAACCAATACAACAAACCTTAACAAATCCGAAGACCCAACAAGGATTAATTTGAAAATACGGTTCAATGTTCAATAATACGAATCCCACTAGATCTAACCCTGTCTAATGAATGGCTGTGTATGGATCAAATTCTTCGAGTTGGTGCTATGTAGGTCCGGATCCAGGCAATCCAGTCGCAGCCATATAGTCATCAAAATGACATAGAAGAAGCCACCACTCACCATTGCCAAATCCAAATGATAGCTCCTTCGAAAAAAACAAGCAATACATAACACACAACCTTATGAATTTTTATCTACTTGAGTCATCTATCAAAATAATCCATACATATATCAATATCAAGGTTTATCCTGTTGGTTGTGTCATGTCATCTTGTGCATTTTCATACAATATTGATGCAGAGTTAACAGGATACAAAATTAACAGAGCAGGCATGATTTACCACTAGCATCATCAGTGTGTACGGCACAGACGCAGTTTATCCTCAGCTACTTGTAGATAGCTTTATGTTATATGTAGTTTAATTGCGTATTCATAGTAGAATTGCTGTATATATGGTTCTCTCTCAGTGCAAAATTTCAAGACCTTGCCTATAAGCATAGCGAAAAAAAGAAGAAAAATTAAAGGGAATAGTGTCTGTTAGCAATGTAAACCATAGACCAGGAAAGCGAAGCATGTTCTTAAACGACTCTAGTACCTACATGTTGAGCATATCTCAATATTGAAAAAGAATAACCTGTGATTCATCTTTGAAATGAAAAAAGAAGAAGAAGAAAGTACAGATCAAAGTGTTGACAAAAAAGCGTTAGTGGCAACAAGTAGCTAACCCCCTATAGTATGGTGGGTGTATATGCGATTCACCTTTAAAACGTAAAACAAAAAAAAAAGGAAAAAAAAAAGAAAAAAGGAAACACTAAAAATTAAAGATCTTATGTTTCATATAAAGGCAATAGATAGTAAATAACCGTTGTTATGGACAAGAGACATACTGTGGTGGCATGGTAGAATTCTAAGCTTTTCTCCTGTACTATAGTCTTCCAGGCAAATAGCACATGCACTCGAAGTACAATTGTCCTCCAAAACATTTGTGAATCTCATACTCCGCATCGCTTTCACCAAACTACCACTCATTCCCTGAAACTCCTGGACTCGAGAAGCGATAAACCTCTCACGTATTACGTTGCGTCCATGCAAACATGTAGCCACCCCAACAACAACGGCAAGTAGTGCTAAGAAAGAAACAACCTTTATAGACAACGGGCGGTTTTCAGAGTTGGATAAGATCCATGCCTCAACATCGGAACGATCTATGTATTCCTTCAACATTTTGCCTGAGGCTTTCGATATAAAGACAGAGTGTATTTTGATGCCATCTTGGGTTCCTCTCACTAAATAGTTCCACAATGAAATAATTGAATTAGTATCTGTAGGTATCAGAAAGCAAAGGCTGGCTGTATCTAATAGAAAAGGAAATTAAACCTAAACCTCAAAAAATCCTATTATTGATGTGTAAGTCAAAAATCCCAGGTCTTATATGCAATAACAAGTCTAATTTATAATTGAATGAGTGTAAGTAGGACATCACTTTAAATTGAGTAACTAGAAATTGCAGAATCCTGGTAGACAACAAATCAGCCTCTCCGCAAAGCGGAGGTAAGGTTTCGTACATCCGACCCTCCCCAAAGCCCACAATAATGGGAGACGTGCACTGGGCAACCCCTCTGGTAGACAAGAATTCAGAACTCAAGATATCTATTATTGATCAGAAACAGTCATAACGAGTCTAGTCGCCATTACTTTTAACTATGAGATGAGAATTGTAGTAATTTTTCTATTTCAAGTATTAGACCTATGATAGTTTGCAAGAGACAAAGACTGGAAGAATAATCCATGATTGGTGTCTGTGTGTGTTTTCTGAGATTACCATCATAATCATGCAAAGCAGTTATTTCTCAAAGTGGACGTAGGAACATTTCTAAAATTAGAAAAGAATAAATCATAGGCTGCTAATTGCAACGTTAATGATGGTATATGGTTAAGGGGTGAAATTGGAGAATAGGAAAAAAGAGAGACTGAGGCCTTGGATAAAAAGCAATCATTGATTACTTTAAGCAGATGCTACAATACATGACTGTTGTAAGCGATAGAAGGTAATCAGTAATTAGTTTAAAATGTTGCCGTTCAAATTCTTCATTTAAATTTTCACCAGTGAAATTATAAGGATGTAATAAATGTAAACAAGTATGCTAGCTGGTCGCGAGCCATTTCAATCTATACAAATTGAGTTTGAGGTCATCTGTGATGAAGGTCGTGGATTTGGACAGTAATAAACAAGTATGATTGTTGATGACCACATTTTATTACACTTTTATACACTGATTATCTCTTTTATTTTGAATAATATATCTACTAATAATATTTTTTATCTTATTTTCAAGTAATAAATAATTATCAAATAAGAGCTCACATAAAAGTTATCTCGAGCCCAAAAGATGTCTAATAAGGCCCAAAATGCATAAATCCAAAGCACATAATCAACTCTAGAAGTAAAATTTTAGCATTCATCATTTCTTGGTATGTTGTTATCAATAACTTGGTCTGCAATTGAGCATCAAATCAAATCTGAAAAGAAACTAAGTCAAATTCATGCTCAAGATAGTCAACCGCAAACAAAAGGGATTATCTCTAAATTCAGAAAGTAGAATTTAATATATTATATATATAAATCGTATATCTTGACGAGACGGAGCCATTCAGACTGGCAGAGATTCTAGAAATTTCATTAGCAGCAACACATTATGACAGAATTCTAAATTTAATTAATATATATTCAATTATTTGAAGGTCATGCTGAAGTCTAAGAACCCTAATACCTCGTTTGGTACGCGGGAATGGAGTGGAATGGAATGGTCATTCTCACTTCTCATTCCTTCCTACCAAACACATAATCTTTTTTGAAGTTGGAATGCACATTCCCACTTCTCATCAATTCCCACTTTATGTGGGAATGAGCATTCCTAATGAAATGATAGGGAATGGGCATTCCCACTTAAATGAGAACTAATAAAATATATAATTTTAAAATACGGTCCATTCCCACTTCATTTTATAAATTACACCCAAACGCAAGAATGAGAATGACTATTCCATTCTCACATTAATTCCATTCCATTCATTCTTCCATTCCATTTCATTTGAGTTCATTCCCGCATACCAAACGAGACGTAAGGGTATTTAAGAGAAGCACAAGAATTTTAAATAATTAAATACAAGAGAAATGAAGCACACAAAGCTCATCTCTTTAGTATGAATCAATAATGTAGATTATTTTGAGAGATAATATAGATCTGAGGGTTAATTAATTGGGGTCTAAACTAAATCCTATAATTGTGAAAGTTACTTGAGAGCCAAGACAAATCTAAGAGTTATGAGATATTTTTTTATCTATAAATAGAGAGGTAGAGTGAGGGTAAGAGTGTGTGAAAAAAGTGTATTGAAAAAACTCCATTTTGGAGAGGTAGACCACCCTTAATTGATAAGACCTTCTAAAAATTATAAACTTTAGTTTGTAATATATGAAAAACTCTCTCCTTTTAAATTTACTATTTTTTCTTCTTTGTTGATGAAAATAAAGATGAAAATTTGCTTTCAAAGTGGCAACCCCTAACAATGTAAATTTTTATTTTTCTCTTTTATTTTTTCTTTACAAATTCATGCTTTAGAATTTTATTTTTTTATTTTCATGTTGTTATATTTGATTTATTTTGATGCCTTGTAGTGTAGATTTTCTTTCATGCTCTTTTATTTCGTTATTTATTTTTCATGCTTTGTAGAATTTAATTTCTTGCATTTTTATTTTGTAGTGTTATTTACTTTTATGCTTTTATTTTTGTTATTTAGATTTCTTTTATGCTCATAGTTTAGAACTTTATTTTCTTGTTCTTATTTTTATTTTTATATTTAATTTCTATTTTTCTTGTAAATTAGATCTCTTTCTTTCATGCTTTCTAGTATACATTTTATTTTCATATTTTTATTTTGTAAAATGAGTAATTAAAATCTTATAAGAATTTTAAAATTGTATGAAACTAGTTTGATTTCTTTATGATTTGTAAATTGTTCTCTTTGTACTTAAAGTGATCATGTTTCGGATAATCAACTAGAAAACTAATTAGTAAAATAAGACTTTGATAATGTATGCTTATCTTGAGTGGTTTGATAGGTTATACTTATAAATTCTACAATTATTATCTAGTTATTGTATTTTTTATGAATAGAATTTATCTTAAATGATAATTTAATAGATTATAATTTTTTTAGTAGTTTGATAATCTATACTTAGCAAATCTAAAGAAAATTTGATAAGAAGATAACAGTTCATAAATCATAAATAACTAGTGGATTTAATTCTAAACTCTTCATTTTTCTATTTGATTTTCTCTATCTTGTACTTTCTTTGATTTTGCTCTTTTTGATTATTTTCTTCTCTTCTTGATTTTTTTTCTTGTCTATTTGTTTTTATTCCTTGTTTGTTCTTTATTTTTTTATTGTTCACTTTCTTTCTTCCATCTTATTCTGGTTTTCTTTTATTAGTAAATAATCACACACCCTCTATGCCTTCACATTTTTACTCTCCTCTTTGTCCACACACAACTCTAATGTCTAATTTAGAGTTTCTACAAATCTTCCTCATGCGATTGATATTATAACTATACTATAAATGGATAGCTATTCTTTTGCCATTTTAGTGCATGTTTATTATGCCCATATAAAGTTTTTGGCACTGTTGCTAGAGAAGGTACTTGTAACTAGGATTTTTCTATTTTTTTTCTTTGATTTATGAGTTTAATTATGAAGGAACAACTTTAAAGAAAAAGATTGGGGATTGAAGATTAAAGATTGAAGATTTACTTAAAAAGATTATTTCTCTTTCTAGCATTTTAAATTTCATCCTTTAGTTGATTTCTCACAATTAGAAACTAATAAAAAAATTGTCTATAAAAATCCACCCTCTACTCGAACAACTGCTAATAAGATAATAAATTCAAATAAGAGCTATCTTTTTTAAATTTGTTTGATTATTAACCTTAGTTAAAAAATAAAAAGGTTTCCAATTTACATTATCTTGTAGTTACTTTTAATTCTTAGGGTTATGTTGCATATAGTTAGTAGGAATTCACCAAAGTAATTTGAGCATTTTAATTTGGGCACTCACTTAAAAGTACTCTTAAAGACAATATCCCCTAATCAAGATGAGGTGAGAGATTTCATTATTCTTTCTTTAGCCTGCAAATCACTAATTCATCACTACACAAAGCCAAGCCTTCTAAAATTTAGACGCTGATCCCTAAGGATTCAAGCTTATTAAGGAACAAAATTTTTTTAAGTAAACCAATTTAAATTTACTTAGATATGTTGGTGTCTAAAGTAAGGTTTAGAGGTTACGTAAAGTGCTCTGTAAGAAAAGAAGTACTTAAATTGGTCCTTGACCTTCCTTTAATACTATCTTTTCCTGTTTAATTGACCAAGTAAACTTTAATTTTTTTCACTCAAGAAATATTTTTACTTAGGAGCTGATCTAGTTAAGTTTAAACTTAACCCTAGAATTAATGGTGATTGTTTTAGAGTGATTGTTCTTGATTTGTTTAGTAAGATTTTCTTCTTTTATTTTTCTTCTTTTATTTTTAATCTTTTAGGTCTCTTAGATTTTCCTTAAAGCAAAAACAAAATTAAAAAATAATAATAATAAATTAAAAAATTAACTTGTATTTTTTAGATATTTTTCCTAATCTCCTTTTTAGTTAAAAAAACCAAAGAGAAAAAAGAGAATTTTAATTAACTTTTATTTTTCCAAGATCTTTTTCTCTAATTTTCATTTTAGATAAAGAAACTTTTTTAGTGTATGCGAGTTTGGATTAGAGATAATATCAATTGATTAGTCTGCATCAAAACAAATTTTAAAACCAAAGAAATAGTTAATCCTAATCCATCCATTCTTCAAAATATGTGTTATCCCATTAGTGAAGCACTCACGTCTTGCATTAGGCTACCAAATGGAGCTACTTTTGAACTTAGATAGTACTTCATAAACATGTTTCTGGAATTCTAAGGAACTGGATTCAAAGAAGCTTATAATTTTATATTTCAGTTTGAGAAAGTTTGTCTCTGTCTCATGATTAAGATTAAGAAATTATCTAAGGATAGGATTAAGCTTAGATTTATCATATTTTCTCTAACAAAGCTAAGAAATAGCTGTATAGCTTACCCACTAATTCTATCTCAACAAGGGATAAATTTATTATCGTTTTCTAAAGAAAATTTTCTCAATCCATAAAACGTTTTAGCTTATAAACAACAACTAGAATTTCAAGATAGTTCCAAGTTAGCCCTTCTGAAAGTATTTTGATAGGTTTAAGGATTTTCTTATTTGTATCCTCACACTGGTCTAAAAAAATAGCGATTATGCAAACTCATCCATGAAGGATTACATTATTCTTTAAAGACTTCCTTAGAATCTATGTGTCAAGGGAATTTCATGAAGAAAAATATCACCTAAATTAGAGAAATCACCTACAATCCAGATTAGAGAAATCACCTAAATTTTACATGAAATTAGGAAAACTTCTTCCAAAATTAAAACCACTTCAACCTAATAATTTTCTAGAGGAAACATAGCTCTATTCAACTCACCAAATAATTTTCAACAACCCAATCTACCGTATTCAAACCAACCTCCTCATCGTCTAACATTAAATCCTATAACTCCGAGTTTTGATCATGATAATATATTAGTGTCTTAGAAAAAGGTTTAGAGGCTATGCTTAAAGCTTGTACACAGACCACTAATATATTGACCCAGTCATCCTAACACTCTAAATTTCTTCATGCAGACAACCAATCAAATGTTCAATGCAAACACTCAAGCCATAGCTAGGTTAGAAATCCAACTTAGTCAACTACCTAGTGTAGTGAATGAGAGTGAGAAAGAAATTTTTTTTAGTTAAGCTGTTATAAATCCTAAGGAACCTACCAATCTTAAATGAATGTAATCTATTCCCTACGGTCCGGAAACAGGTTTATAATCAAGTTAGAATGCCTCCGAATTAAACTCCTTTTTCCTCTTCTCCTAGTCCAAGTCCTGAACCTAAACAAACTCTCTCTTTTTTATAACTTTGTTTAACGATCACCTCCTTCCAATGACCAAGAACCTAAAATCAAACTTGGCTCAATTTTTAATGTGTTGCCTCCTAGAAAAATTACTTTTATATCCAATAGGATGAAAGATATTCTAAGAACATTGTACAGGAGATTTGGTTCTCATCACAATCACCGCTATTGCTTACGACACATTAGAGCTAATTTTAAAAAGAGATTTGGTCAAGTACATCTACAAAACCTTCTTTGGCAAGCGGGTGTTACACCCAAAATGTGAGTGTATGATCGGATATAGGATCAAATCAAGGTAACATCTCAAGCTACACATGATTGGATTGAGAGTAGTTTGGGAAGCGATTACATCGACCGGTAGGTACTAAGTAAAGATGGAGGGAATCGCTATTGCATGATGATAACTAATTATTCTGAAAGCTTCAACAGTGTACTTAAGGGGGCTCGAGCAATGCCCACACAGGCGTTGGTTGCAATAACATTTTATAGACTAAATCAGTATTTTGTCAAGCGACGAGATGATGGAGCAAAGTGGGGGACGTTATTCACCCTAAAAATGAAGAGATTATAGGAGCTCGTGTCAAGCAGGCCAGATTGACTAAGATTGTTAGATTTGCTATATATGAATGGAAGGTTACAGACAATCACGGTCAAAATTACACTGTCAATTTACGAGGGACACAATGCGCATGCACATGTAACATACCAGAATTACAAAAATTGCCATGTTCACATGTTATAGCGGTTACGACCAAACAATTTGGAGGTGCAAATACATTGTATTACACATACACTTCTGAGTGGTATCAATCAAGCCACTATAGAGATTCATACAGTCAGTTTTTTCACCCCATTGTAGATAGTCATTAGTGGCCACCCTATAACGGTCGCATGTGTTACCTCCTGAATTTAAGAGACAAGCCGGACGCCCGAGATCAACACGCATAAAATCTATGATGGATGGAGGTCGGGAAGGAGTTCCAAAAAAATAGGTGTCGATATTGTAGACAATCGGGCCATAGGAGATCTCATTGTCCCACCAATCCAAATAAATAGCAATTAATGGGTACAATTAATTTAATTTTTATTAATTATTCTACTTCATTTATATTCAAAATTTGAACTTTTATTTTACTTCATTATATTCTACTTCATTTATATCATCATATATACAGATATGGAGGTGGGCCCATTGACGTATGAGGTCCTTTATGACCAAGCTCGTCATCGATCTGAAGATTGACACTAGGGAGGTAATTAGATTTATTGTTATAAATTATATTTTTAATCATATCAATTATTCTAAGTTATTGATTAGGTCTGCTCTTCAGAGGACGTGTAATTCAAGACATGATGGACGTGAGGAGCGACCAATTGAGTACGGTTGTTGACGGTTCTGAGGACACATGGGGGCAAGCTCAAGCGGTGCACATAATGAAGCTGACGGCTCACAGCAGGCCCAAGCCGGATGTTCATAGTCTATTCGAGTCGATGAGGATGTCATGTACTCCCAACTTCACACACAACCGAACGAGGAACTCATCCGAGCTCACGTCGAAGGTGAACGTGTCTGGGGGAGAGGGAGAGGGAGATGGAGAGTAAGAGGGAGAGGGAGAGGAAAGGGAGTTGTATCCTATTGAAACTGAATATTATGTTTCTGATTGAGTATTGATAGGATGTTTGCATTTGAAACTAAATATTATGTATTCGATTGACTATTGATTATTAGTATGTGAATAGCATGGTATGTATCCGATTGATTATGGATTTTTATTTGAGATTATTGATTGGTATGTGTGTTATTGTGATTGTATTGTAGATTGATTGTGAATTGATATGTAACAGCAGGAGTTTGAATTTTCGGCTGAAAGTGTGTGTACTAGTAGTCTGCCAAATAGTCGGGGTTGGGAACCCCGACCATTTTGTGCACGTATACGAAATGGTCGGGCTTCCTAAACCCGACCATTTTATCGTAGGAAAATTCTCCTCTGTTAAATGGTCGGGGTTCCAAACCCCGACCGTTTTCAGCTCCATTCGGCAACTGGGCCAGAGCTCTCTGCCATATGGTCGGGTTTGGGAACCCCGACCATTTCGAAATGGGCTTTCAAAATGGTCGGGGTTGTCAACCCCGACCAATTAGACATGGCCCTAAATTAGTCGGGGTTGGCAACTCCGACTAATTTAGCTTGTACATAGCTAAATAGTTGGGGTTGGTAACCCCGACTATTTAGAGACGTCATTAAAAAAACCAACTCATTTCGTGACTACGCTGCTGACGTGACCACGAAATGGGTCGGTTTTGAAAAATAAAATGGGAGTCGGTTGAATTTTTTATTTAAATGAGTTTATTTTGAAAATTTGTTCTAATTCTAAATGAATTAGGATAAGGGGTTTAATTGCATTCACTTACATCATAAGATTGCGTAAATCGCACTAAAACCCCAATAACTTTTAAAGAAACCCCTAGATACCTTTTGGGTAAATAACATTAACCCCTAATAACATTAAAAATGCCTTTTATGTAGTTCTTTGGTTCTAATTTATGGGGGTTATCTACAAAATGTAGAAAGTTATTAGGAGTTTTCTGCAAAACATAAAATTAATTAGCGGTTTTAGTGCGATTTTAAAGGTTATTGGGGGCTAACTGAAAAACACAGAAAGCTCTTGGTGGTTTAGTGTAATTCACCCCATAATCCACATAAAAAAGAAAATTACCACAAGCCTGTGACCCTTGGCTACTAGCATATTATTAACAAATGCAAATCAAAGTAAACTTCTGTTATCTATAAAACTGATAGTAAAAATTTAAAAATTTTATAAAAAAAACTTACTGAAGTTAGCCTCCACGTCACGAAAGGACAGAGAAATGTTCTTCGCCATCAAAACAACATTTCCAGCCACAAACCCCACCATCAACACATGAATCAGTAGAGCATAAACCCTAATTAACAAAGCCATTCCCCAAAAAAAACCAACCAAGACTTGGACTTTCACTCCCAAAACGCTAAACACCTGCAAAATTCAAAGTTCAAACAGAATAAGTAACAATTCGATGAATGGATTCTTGAGCACTAAAAATATAGAGAGAGCAGACACGTTTCAATCATGGCAATATTACTTGGAGTGTCATTATTACTTGAAAAAACGGTTATTAGTCAAATCTCCTATAAATCTATTCCATACACAACTTCAATCTTACCAAATTCCACCAAATCTAACAAAAGAAACCACAGATTAGAAGGATGCGGAAGCAACAAAAATTTGTGATTCAAAGAGGTTAGTAAAAACATGTATTTTAATACAATATGGTACTTTTTAATAAAGAAAGTCAAATTACGTGTACAGATTCTCTCAACAATAGGCGTCCTTATTCAATTTATTGTACATATCAATAGGCGCATGTATTTTTTTAATTTAATCAACGGTGATGTTATCAGAAAACAATTCTTTGAGGGCAAATATTATAGGAAAATTTTTCAAAATAGACCATTTTAGAAACTTAATCACCAAAATTGACTCAGTTGCAATGTATTTATCAAATTTGACCTAGTTTCAGCCACGTCAGCAATGTAGGATGAATCTGGATCAAAATCGCGAAATATTTTACCACGAACTTTATGGGATTGAGAATCCTATGAATTTTAGTGGATAATTAAAGTTCACGGGATTCTCAATCCCGTGAAGTTTAGTACGCTACTAAACTCAACGGGATTGTGAATCCCATGGAGTTTTTGTAGCACAAAACTTCATGGGAATACGAATACTGTGAAGTTTGTGTCATAATGAAAACTTCACAGGCTTGAGAACCCTATGGAGTTGCTGATTCATTCCGACGGCAACTTGCTATATGTCATATCTTTAACAACAAAGACACTCTTAATCTATCTTTCACAATCTTAAATATATATGCAATCTCAAGATATATATGAAAATACAACCACATAAATACACACAAATCCAACTACAAAAATACATATCTCTTCGAACAACCCAACCACTATCCAACCATATATATTCATGAAACTTTCAAAATCACTAAACAAACATCATATCATATAAAAAAAAAAGTCGCATACATCCTAGAAATCCTACTCTCTTTCCTCTCCCTCTCTTACCCCTTCCTATCGTCCCCACTCCCGCCACTAAAGTCCATGAACAAGAGCCTCGATGATCTCATTATGTAGCTATTTATGAGGCTCTGTAGTGGATATGGATCATCCTCATTAGGTGGAGCACGTTGAGAAGTTATAGCTCCATCATCACGCGCCGTAGAAGAGAATGCCTTACGTCTTCGCATGTACACCTTTACAAATTATAGTGTCATGTCCTTGCGTCCTTCAAACTTATCAATGTGATTCCTATGAAAAACATTGGCTATCATCTGTCTGATCTTGTTAAATATTTATAGTGCATGTGGATCTCGAACCTCAGTAATGATATCATTTATATGTTCTTCAAGATCATCAAACGCATGGACTTGCAGTTTAATTCAAAAATGCACAGCTTAGCAAGTCATATGGTTTGACAAGAAGAATATGTTGACCTTCTTGTTTTGATGATGTTTAACAAATAATTTACTTCTAATGTTGTCTGTCTAGTGTTTGTGTTTTCGTATTTATTCTAGGCAAACAACGAGTTGGAGGATGGATGGAATCGAACATTCACGATCATATCAAATGGAGGTTGGCAGAATTGTGGTTGAAGCCACGCTATTCAAGTTAAAGATACAAGTTCAAGCTTCATCCGTAAGTGTACCAAGATAGACTATTTTGTAACATGTTCATTTACATGTTTATATACATTTTCCAAAGTTTCATTATTTTTAGACTTTATTTGTTATTATTAACATATTTTTAAAAGTCTCAAAAATTATTTACAAAAACCTGTAAAAAACCCATGTATCAGTTCGTGGTCGACTGCCACGGTCGACCGCCTGCAACTCATAATTCATTTTGTCTTTTTATGGATCGTGGTCGATCGTGACGGTCGACCGTGGTAAATCCAGAGACTTTCGCGGTAGACCGCCACGGTCGACCGCCTGCTTTCCATAGCCTTTCTTCAGCTTTTTGTTGCTCGCGGTCGACCGCCGTGGTCGACCGCCGAACTGTCAGATTAGTTCAACGGTTAGTTTCTAAGCTATTTTCTCTTAGGCTTTTTGGTCATTTTGATTGGATTTTTTGGCTGAGGTTTTGAGAGGCTATAAATACCTCCTTGCTCTAATCCTTCATGAGTAACAAAGAGAATGTTTTAAAAGAGGTTTAACAAAGTTTTAATCAAGGGTTTAAGTTTGAATGTTTTAAAAGAGGTTTAACAAAGTTTTAATCAAGGGTTTAAGTTTGTTTAAAGTGTGTTTATAAGCTTTTAAGCATTTTAATCAAGGGTTTAAGTTTGTTTAAAGTGTGTTTATAAGCTTTTAAGCATTTGAGTGTTTCGGTTTTGAGAATCAATTCCACAAGAGCTTGAGGAGATCATCTATTGAAGTTTGAACTTCTAACTATTCTCCCTCCACCTCTTGATCTATTGAGAAGTTTTCTAAACTCTTATCTAGCTTTAGATTTACTTAGTTATTTGATTATCATTCTTTAAAACTAGTTTTTATATTGAGTTTAGATTTGATTATATTATCTCATTGTTACACACACACCCACATTGAGCTTTTAGTATTTACATACATAGTATATTGGGATTGTGAGAGATTGTAACATTGAGTTGTGCTTAATTGAGTTCTCACCTTGTATTAGAGAACAAATCATTTGTTGTTATTTGTTAGTGTTGTAAATTTTTTGGTGAGCTAGAAAACCGAGTGTGAGGAGTGAACGTTGATCGGTGAGCATTGAAAACCGACATTGTGAGTGTGAGGAGTGAACATTGATCGGTGAGCGTTGAAAACCGACATTGTGAGTGAGGTGTGAACGTTGATCGGTGAGTGTTGAAAACCGACATTGTGAGGTGTAAACGTTATTCGAGTGAGCGTAGAAAACCCGGTTGTGATAGTAGATTTCTCCCCGGGAGTGGGGAGCGGAGACGTAGGATTGAAGGTCTGAACTCCGTGATCATATCGTGTGTTTGAGTTTACTTTGGCGCACTTCTCTTATGTTTATATTTCTTGTCGCCATTGTCCATTACTCATTATTTATATCATCCACTATCTTATTTATTTTGTTTACCATTGTTTATATCGCTTATCCTATCTCACATATCTTGTTGTATTTTATACTTGCTAGGATAACTTGTTATTAGTTTTAATTGGCATAAAATCGGATTAGATTAGCATAAAATCCTAATCACCCCCACCCCCCACCCCCTCTCTAGAGTCTAACAATTGGTGTCAGAGCTTGGTGCTCTTTGATTTAAGGACTAATCGCCTTGAGTTAAAGAACCAAGTTATCTTTTTGTGCTAATCTAATTTTTGATTTTTGCTTTGCTTGCATATATATACATTATGGATATGCACAGTGCACATTGTTTAGGTTATGCCATGAATGTTGCTCATTGTTTAGATAATTTCTCCTATGCTCAATGGTGTGTTAGATTTAAGCTATTTGTTAGATCTAAACATTTTGAATTATGGGAAATTATAGTTTGTGCTTATATTGTACCCACTTTGGAGAAATCCAAGTGGAATAAAGATTATCATAGAATGATTACTATGAACAATATTTTGTTAGAATATTTGCTAAATGCTTTTAATTCATCTATATCTAACAATTTTGTTCATTTTGATAGTGCTTACACCTTATGAAAATTTATTGAAGCACATCAAGGGGACTTGGAGGTGATCTGACAAGCTTTGGAAGATCCGGCTTCAAGTTCATATAGAGCATCATGCACACGGCCACTAGACGATAGCCCTAGTGAGGTTTGTGAGTTCGAAACCACTAATGAGTTATCTAATGATGAACTTGCTTGTGCTAGTAAAAAATTGTTGCATGCCTATAACATATTGCATAAAAGTTTTATTGATTTGCAAAGCAAGCATGAAGATTTAAAATCCGATCATGAGAAGTTAGCTTCTAAATTTGATATCATTTCTCAAGAAAGTATTGCTCTTCAAGAAAACAATGATATGTTAAAATTAGAAAATAATAATTTAAAATTAAATATTGCTAACTTGACTCATGACAAAAATAATACCATGTTAGAAGTAAAGAACATAAAAAATGATACTGCTTCTTTTATAAATAACTATTTATGTTCTACTTCTAATAAAAATGCATATGTGCCAAATGATGAGTTGAATGTTGTTAAAAATCCCATTTCATCTTTAGACTCAACTCTTAATACATGCATTGATAACCATAAGAAACTTATGGACAAGTGTTCTAAACTTAGTGTTACAAAATCACCTACACTCTATGCACACTTGTATAGCAAAATTTACAAATACTCAATTTGCGATCGTAAAGGCCACATTGCTAAATTTTGTTATGATGCACACAAATCTTCTAAGGTTAATGCTTCTCGTGCATCTCATAAGGCTTCTTCTTCATCACACACATATGTACATGCACACACTCATAAAGTTCATCATAAGCATGTTCATGTGTTTAAATATGATATATGTGGTCGTTTTGGTCACTTGAAAAAATATTGTTTTGATTTGAAAAAGAAATCTCATTTGCCAAATGTTTCTAGTAGATCACATGTTTTTAAATGTGATGTTTGTGGTAGATTTGGCCATTTGGCGAAGTTTTGTTATGATTTGTAAAAATATTCAAACTTGTCAAATTTCTCAAGTAAACCACATTTGTTTAATGATGTTTCTCATTTGAGATATAATTTAAAAGAAAAATCTTTATTTACAAATGATTCTCGTGCACGAGCTAATGGTCCACAAAAACAAATGGATCTCTTTCATTGCAAAAATTATAATCGGAAGGGTCGTTTGAATGATTATTGCTTTGACCGTGTTAGTGCACCACATATGCCCAAACGGATTCATAACCCTAGGGCTTTAAGCTTAAATGATA